TAAGATTAGTACAACGACAAAAATCATCTCGCCAGAAATAGCACCTATAAATCACCTTATAAATATAACTATGCCAGAATTTGTATATGAGGTTAATCCAAACAACTCAGACAACTTCAGACAATTTGAGGCTATAAAGAAAAGTATTGAGATAATGAAGCAGAGCGCCCCATTGAACACTAATATATCCTACCACGACGTCCATCAGTATACTGCCATATATCTCATTGTCTTGGGAATCCTGGTATTGGTGGCCGCTTACTGTTTTATACGTTGGCGGCGATGGCAACTTAAAGGACATCACTCCACTTATGCAGCTCAGCGGTCTGCAGCATCGGCATCGTCACCACCACCGTCTCGAAACCCCGTTACCGAAAGTGTAGTGATTGAGTGTAGTGAAATTAGGGAAAGTGGGCAATGTAGTAATACAACTGTGAAAAGTGATTCTAAGAACATAGCTCTGTCTAGTGAGTGCTTACGTGAAAAGAAAGACAGAGGTTCTTCCCCAATCTTTCGTGTGTTTTCTCTCCCTGATTTACATTGTAACAACTCTAATTTGTAATCTTTATCTCATCTTTTAACTTAACTTGACTAACTCTACATTTTAGTATTAATTGAACTATGTTATCATCTTGTTAATATTAAGTCATACTCCTTTAACTACTCTCATCTACTAACCTCATCTTTCCCCCCTCGGGAGTATGTTCGGGTCAATCACCGAACAAATAATTGTAATATGCTAAGTATACTAATCATGTCACCGTAATTGCGACACACCGCAATATGTCATGAATATATTATGTATTACTTAGGTAAAAACGCTCAGTACGTTCAGTACGATTGTGAATACGGACGCTACTCAATCTCATCTCATTCACCTCATTAGACTTAGTAGTTATCTCATTAGTATCGAAATATATCTTTCATTCTACATCCTAGAGTTTATCTTGAACTCACCCCAACCCCGAACAGGTTTATAAAAGCTTTAAAGTTCATAAGGCTATTACGTTAGTAAACTACCACCGCCAACCGTGTAAACATTTAGGCGACTAACAAACCAGCAGTGTTTGGAAAAGAAAAAAGCATCTAACACAAAATTTCAGTCTCTGCAAGTCAAGTTACGGAGGTTAGCGGTACTGACTGTGCTTTAAAAATTCAGTATGTACCCAACCGCCACGCTTGCATTTTTCGAGAGTACTAAAGTCTGCTTCGTTTATATTAAAGACCCTCTATCTATTCGTTTTATCCACCCCGAAATATGCTTTCACTCTCGTAGCCTCTTCATCCCGTAAAAGAATCGACTCCTAGACACTAAGACGCATCGCTCGCCTTTCAACTGAAAAAAGCTAAGCTTTTTTAGTGACATGGTATATTAATAATAACTGTAAGGTTTTATCATAACTTAAGCCTTTTTTAGTATACCCTGAAGTTTTCGAACCATACTTTAGAAAACACACTTTTTATCTGTAATCTATCTTCTATCTGATCTAAATATATTTCAAAGGTGACTGTCTGACTTATTGATCTATCAACACACAGCACAAACCACTGGACGGATCAGGCTGAAATTTGGCATACAGGTAGATGTTATAACGTAGGCATCCGCTAAGAACGAAGAGGATAAAACTGCGTTTAAAAAACCGACTTCAAAAAACCAAAAACTAATAACAAACCAAAAGTCAAAACTAAAAAGCAAAAAATAACGCAGTTTTATTTTATTATTTTATCATTTTCAGTGTACCTAAAGCTACATAGATCCGTTTTGTCACTTATAATCTACATAGGTGCAAAGTTTTAATTAATACAAATTATACAAGCCCAAACATAAGGTAGTTACTATAAACCGTTGAGGAGTTCCCTGGACAATTACGCTTCTTCATTATCAGACCCTTAATGACAGTCCCAGCCGATTTAAGTGTAAAGATCTCATCAGTATAAATTAATCAAGCGCAAACACAGAGTAGTTACTGACTGTATACCGTTGAGGAGTTCCCTTAATAATTACACTTTTTCATCATCAGACCCTTAATGACAGTCCCACTCTATCAAGGTGTAAAGTCTCATCAATACAAATTAATCAAGCCCACCAACAAGGTGGTTAATACAAACCGCTGAGGAGTTCTCTCGACTGTCTGTCGGCTCCATCATCATGTCGACTCCAGACCCTTATCAAATTGTAGTGTTTAAAAATCCTAATTGAAAAACATAATAAATGCATTACTCGCCCTACAATATTCGAAAGTTCCCCTCGGTTTCCCTAGAATCCCATCATCAGATTCTGACCTCATTGAAATGGTATACACAATTTATAATTATTGAACAAAATGTTAATGACCAGTCAGTTTCTCATAGATGTCACTATAGACGAAATTGTATGAAAATGTGTCCATCGGTTTTGTATGTAATAAAAGAAACTACTGTAAAGTGAAAATTAATGGTTAAAATTGACGAGTGATTCCGAAATTGAAAAAAGAAATTGAAATATTGAAGCTTATGAAGCTTACTAAAAGGTATAACCTAAAGGTCATCCAAATGTACGCCCCTACCTCGACATATTCGGACGAAGAAGTAGAGGAAATCTACGAGGACATTTCTAGGCAAATGCTCGTCAACTTCCTGGAGAAGGACGGGCTATTCTTGATGAACTCCTTCTTTAAGAAGCAGCCTTAACGGAAGTGGACGTGGCGGAGCCCCGACACTATGACTAAAAATGAAATAGACTTCATTATGTCGGACAAAAAGCGAATGTTTTGATGATAGCGAATGATCACTAGGTTAAACACCGACTGGTACGAGGCACTCTAAACATCAAACACAAATTCGAGCGTGCCCGTCTTTTGAAGTCCACGCTCCGTCCTAACTTGCTCCAAATGTTGTCGGATCCGAAAGCTTCCAGCTAAAACTGAAAAACGATTCACTGTCTTTTAAACCACAATAGACGCTGATATTGACCAAAACCTCGACCAAATGATCGGAATACTCCGGAATGAGGGGACGAAAATGTGGCGGGTACAAACAAAATACCAGCAGGAGGGCGAGGCTTTTGGAGGAGTCTCTGCAGCTGATGAAGAGGCAACGTGAAAACCCAGCAGTCAATTCGTTGGATCTTAATAAAAAGATCTCGAAGCAGGTAAGACGCGACTTCCGGTGCTCCAACACTCGCGCTATAAAAGAAGCGATCGAGCGAAATCGGGGGTCAAAAGTCTTCATCCAGCAACTAAGTCGAAGCCATCTGCCGAAGCTGACCACATCTGAGGGAAAAGTCGTCGCTTCCGGGCCGGAGATTCTTGCGGAGGTTCAGTTCTTCTACGGTGATCTATAAGCGTCACAAGCACCCCAACCTCAATCATACTCGGGGGATCCCAGGGCCACACTTGCCCGCCACTTCACTGAAGAGCCGCCAGAGGTCAGCCAATACGAGATCGTGGTGGCTTTGGGGGCAGCTTAAAAATGGAAAACCCGGGTAGGTCGGAATTACGACGAAACTCCTTAAACTGTCAAACACCAAGCGGTCACCGGTGACCGCAACCTATTATTCTATAATTGTGTCTATAATGACGGTACTCGACGAGTTAAGGCAGGGGAAAACCCGATTCTCGAGCGGCTCCAAAGTACATTTAATTCCGTCCTCTTCACGGGGAAAACTCCTAGGGTATGGAGCAGAAGAGCATTGGCGTTATGTTCTTCAAAAAAGGAGATAAAACCCTTTTCAAGTCCTATTTCCCTTTTGAGCCACGTCTATAAGCTGTTTTCCAGGGTCATCACGAATCGTGTCGCATGAAGGTTTGATGAGTTTCAGCCCCCCGAGCAGGCCGGATTCCGAGTAGGATATGGCACCGTAGACCGATGAGGTAGATTATACAGAAGACCGAGGAGTATAATCGGCCTCTATGCTTTGCGTTCGGGGACTATGAGACAACCTTTGACTCTATCGAGATCTGGTTTGTTCTGGAGTCTTCAATTGAAGGTCGCTCAGCGACCCCAAGAGGGCTTTATGGGGGGAAAATCATCGGGCTTTATGGGGGGAAAATCATCGAATGACTGCTAAGGGAGTGTCAGACTCTTACTGACTAAAAACCACCCGGTTCCTTCTCCTGCACGTCGAGCCGGAGCCCCGGTAACCCGTTATGTTCTCCGCGACATGGAGAGGGCTATGCTCAGAGTCTCTTTGAAGGATCGGATCCGAAACGAAGTCATCCAACAGAGAACCAAAGTTATCGACATTGCCCAAAGGATCAGTAAGCTGAAGTGGCAGTGGGCTGGTCACATTTGTCGAAGAACCGATAACCGTTGGGGTAAACGTGTTCTAGAGTGGAGACCACAAACGCAGTGTAACGCCCTCCAGCTAGGTGGAGTAACGACCTCCGCAAGGTGGCTGGCAGTGGTTGGATGAGAAAAACTGAAGACCGAGCTCAGTGGTGTGCCATTGGAGAGGCCTATGTCCAGCAGTAGACGAATACAGGCTGCTGATGATGATGCTGATGATGGACGTTTATATTATAACTTTCGTGACACATACTAAATTAATTATTATGTTTTTCGGCTTACTCACGTAAGTTTCAAGCCATGCTAGAGGCTCATATTCATGACTTCATGAGCAGCATTCCGCGACCTGTGACACAGCGTCTGTCGCGCTGTTATAGTAAGAGCCCAAGAAAACACAACATGCTTCTCGCACCCTCATACCCACGTATGAGACGGGACACCAGGGGTGGGTTTTTGGGCAATAAGAGCCTGACTGACAGTCCCTTTCGTTCCCTCCAAGCGAAAAATACCCTATATACCTACTTTAACTTGCAACAAATAAATGATTTTAACTGGCCACCACATTAACCTTACACTTATGCCAATTTTGATTTTACTTTTACATTATATTTTAGATTAACATGCTTCCGCACATTAATTTGAATTGAAAACGAGTCTTTCTCTCTTTGATAGTTATACAAAAATAGCAACACTGAATTTGACATTTGCAAATCTATGGCATAGACCGAAGTGCTTGTCAAAGAGTTTAATTAATAATTGCTTGTACCTAAGTGCTTGTTTTATTTTATCAGTGTCTTGTCTTGTCTTGACTCTTGACTCTTTAATTTGTTCTTTTAGTCTATGACTAAGTTTGTTGAACGGTCAAAATAAATATTAATGTTTTGTTGAAAATAAGTCGTCGAATGTTTGCATTATTTTTAATCCTAAAAGTAAATTGTGTTTTGTTACTTAAGCAGTTTAAGATTTTAGAAGATATATTTTTACTTTCAAGTTACAATGGAAAATAGTGTTACTTGGCCTTTTTTATGGTCTTGTAAAAGACTGAAATCAGAATTTTCAAATCTATATAAAATACCTATAATCTCAGATGGTGTAAGTATATTGTTAATTATTTGAATCATACCTACTAATGATAAATTACGTGAATGGAATCGTATCGAAATATCGTTAATTACTAATCATTAAAGTAATTACTAACTAAATATCGTTATTTGGTTAGTAAATAATGAAATCAACATACATGCGTGCTTGGGCAACAACATGGCCTGTAGGGATACTCACTATCTTTTTGAGGTTCTGAGGTGTAAGCAAAGGTGCACACATAATGGAACTCCCACTGTTACCAGTTATTACTGGTGAACAGTGGGAGTCCATTGGAGAGTGGATTATAATGAGTCCCACGTAACAAGGGTGAGCCTCCCATGAAACAAGATCACACATACCAATCATGAAGTTTTGGTCTTTTAGTTACCATCCTCAAAAGTTCTATGTATAGTATTATAAAATTTATAAAGATTATTTAGTTTATTGATGATCTAGTAGTAGGTTCCTAGATACAAATTAATGTTACATCTACCTTTTGGCTTTGTAACTTCCTACAAACATATAAGGGAACAAACTGACACACCAAACATCATTTGAAATTCCCAACAACCTAACTAATTATTTTCTCATTATTGTAGTTCACAATTGGACGTAGCATGTCGAATTCCATAGTAGTGCCATTCATCGCAATCTCAAGAAATCACTGCAAATTTATAAAAGGTGATAATAATGAATGGATTATTGAAGATTATAGCACATTTGGTGTTAAAGTCAATGGTGTGACTCTAGGCAAAGGAAATCAGAAAACTTTGTCTCATAATGATGTTATATCTCTAGAACCAACTAATGAATTTATGTATAACTTTGTGATTCCGTCACAAGACAATGAAAACTATGAGACACCTAGAAAACGTTTTAAAATGGAGAACACTCATGATAACACAATTATTGATGATGTTAAAATGAAGTTTGAAGAGTCACAAACATTTGAATTAAAACATATAGAAGAAAAGATACAAAATGCCAAACAAATGCAAAATACATCGATCAGTTTAAAAAAACAATTACAAACAGATATGAACAGAAAAATACATCAACTAGAAAGTGAGTTTGCATTACAAATAGAAAATTTAAAAGGAGAGAAAGATGAAGTTGAACAGCAAAAGATTAAACTCATAGAGGAAAGAGATATGCAACTAGCTACAATCAAACATGACATGGAACAAAAAATTAGTGAACTCATGGTAAGTTAAGACGCTCAAGTATTGTTATGCTTAGGTTAAACAAGGATACATTAGTTATAGCTTGTCTTGTGTATAATTTACAGGAACAAATCCAGAAACACAATGAAACTGAATCAGAATTACTAAAAGAAAATAATTCACTTAAAGAGAAACTCACAAAAGAACGGGAAGAGTTCTTGTCAGAGTTAAATAGAGAAAATACGTCAAAAAGAGAAATGTTAGAAAAATTAAAAGCAAAATTGCGGGAACAAGAAGAGCTCCAGTTAAAAGAACGACAAAATTTTGTAAATATGCTCCAGAAGGAAACAGAACAACTGCGATTAGCTAAGGAAAAGGTAACTTTATTTTTAATTAACTATGAATCTTATTTTATAATAATAATTATATCGAGGGGTAACTCGTAATCAGCGAATTTTTCTCCGTCGAATATATATAATAACTCAATATCGCCCAAAATGTCGCTTAAACCAAATAGCCCGTTACCCCTCGATATAATATATCTCGAATACTATAAGATCACCAGATACCAATAAGTAATATTTACTAATATAAAATGTTTAGTGTTATAAAATCACTTGACACAAAAAAATTCAACTGATGGTCTTTATCAACAGGAGATGAAAGAGTTAGAAGAGCAGAGAATACAAAGAGAAAATGAATTGAAGGAAGAATTAAATAAAATGAAAAAGAATTTGGAAGAACAAATACAACAATCAGAACAAGAAAAAATAAAAACTGAACAATTACTTAATGAGCAAATGGAGTATATGAAAAAACTTAATGATGAAGAGCAAATAAAAATGAAAGAATTGGTAATGTATTTATTTATTTGTAGAGAATTACTGCCACCAAAGATTAAGACGAAGACTTCAAATGGCTTGTTATAATGAATTTACAAAGTATGTGACATTATAGATGAAATTTAATTGTGGTTATTTAATTAATTATGCATAATTATAGAGTTTTGTTTTAATTTTATTTTTGAATTCGTTGTTATAATAAATGTCGTGAGACATACTGAATTACCTAAAAATTACAAGTTACTCACGTAAATATACTGAGAAAAGCTTTCCTATTTCGAGTCACAAAGGGACTCCTCCTCATTAGCAGTGTACTACTACTTTTTCTGTATTCTGTGATTTGGCAATTTTTTCTTCAATAACTATGATCTGAAATAAAGGCCGAAAATAGTCTGTATATAGTGTTTTCTTGTCAAATTACATCTTCTCAGATAAATAATAATAGGTTGCAAAAGACAGGCCGTCATAAATTTTAGCTGAAATTAATATCTGCTCAAACCAACTTTTTATTTTAGATGACAGAAAGAGAAGAATTACAAAAGAAATATAATGAAGCTCAATCTAGTGCCGAAAAATCCCTTGAAGAATTAAAGGTAAATTCTGAATAAGATTACATATGTTTAAATTATGTTTTGTTTTAATAACTTGCCTTATTAAACACTACTGCCTATGTGTATTGAGAGTTTTGAGAGTGTGCAATAGAGGAATTTAAACAGTATAATATATTTGACTACCTTCTTATGTAACAACAGATGCGCGTGACAGAGAGAGAAACAGAACTGGCCGCGTTAGCAGCAGATCGAATCCAAAAGCAGGTGGAACAGTCTAGTGCCGTCATCAATACATTGCAAGAGCAACTTGAAAAGGTATCAAGAAAAGTATTCAATGTAACCAAACCAGATAATCGCAATTTTCTTACTACTTAAACTAGTTATGATTGTCTAGTTTAACTAAGTTGCTATCACAAACTTTCATTTTAGCTTCAGTTGACGAATTAATATTATTGTACAAAACTTACAATTTATTCAGCATTGCCAGCACTAGGCGGACGACCTTGTTATTCCATGGTTAGCGCCGATTGCTTACCGTGATCCGTTTGCTCGTGTCCCATGCTATCCCTAAGCAAAATCAGTATACCAACATATTGCATTTTAACATATTTTTGTATTAAACTTTTCAGGTCACAAATCAACTTCAAACAGTAGAAAGTGAAAGGAACACAATACTAGAAAACATTGCTGCTCCATCTAAAGTCATTGAACAGACATCAAAAGATATGGTGCTTACAGAAATGGGTGAGCTAATGGAGAGTGAACTGCAGTGCAGTATATGTAACGAACTCTTTGTAGAAGCCACCACACTTAATTGCTCACATACGTTTTGCAAATATTGCATTTCTGTGTGGAAAAAAAAGAAAAGAGATTGCCCTATATGCAGGTAACTATTTAGCAGTAATTTTATACCTTAATACATACTAGCTAGAATTACAAAATCATGCCTGCTATACGCATGTAAATAAATATATAAATCCCATATTTCCTTGGGAAACCTCTCTCTTAGTGTTCTCGTACACTCACTCCAGCAGTTTTACCCATACATAAATTTATCAGTCACCTAATCGCCAATAACGACAAAACAGATGAATATCTGAAAATATGGTCTACTTCTTTTTATAAACATTTCAGAGCATCAATCACATCGGAATGCAGGAGTCTAGTTTTGGATTCTTTCATAGAGAAGATGGTACAAAGCCTTAGTGACGAAATGAAACAAAAAAGAAAAGATATATTGGAGGGCAGGAAAGGTTTGTAAATATTTTTATTTTTAACTACAAAGGTACATGTTTTGGCCACAGGATATTTCGAGCTTATTTCTTTTCATTTTGCTGTCATGCCAAATGGTATTCAGTGCTTTCGTTTTCATTAAAAACCATAATTATAAAATTTAGTTTATATTAAAAAGTGAAGTGACATTGGGCAAATCTGACTACGGCAATAATAATACTAGGTAGTTGTAATAATCTTTCTTAACTTGATACTCACAATTGCGAATGTTTATTAACCGACTTCAAAAAAAGAAGGTGGTTCTCAGTTTGAACTGTATGTTAGTATATTATTATGAAAAAAGTATTTGTTACACTTAGGAGAAGGTTTTAGTATATTAATTAACCGACTTGAAAGAAGAGGGGGTTGAAGATGGTTTCTTTAAACGTAATTTATAAAAGAACTAACTTTTACCCGCGGTGCTTCGCTCGCGTCACAAAAGCATAAAAAGTAGCCTATGTGACATATATCAATACACACAGCGCCATTTATACCAATACTTTTGTTTTCCCTCGGGAATATCAAATTTTTCCGGGATAAAACGTACCCTATTATTTAATCCGGACTTCTAACTTCTATAGTAAGGATTATTTCACTACCACTATATAAATCAAGCAAGAGTAATCAGACAATCTAAACATATTATTGTAAATATTTAATCATTAGTTTATTCTATAGGTTGGTAAGTGTTTTGTGTGACTGTTATTTATTATGAAGTAGCTACTCCCGTGTTTCACCTGGTCTGCTCGGATCCTATTGATCATAGCGTGATATGTTATAGCATATCCTTCCTCGATAAATGCATTATCCAACACACAAAGAATTACTCCAATCAGACCAGAGGTTCCGGAGATTATCGCGTTCAAACAAACGGACATATTCTTCGGCTTTATATGTATAACTAGCTGTGCCCGCGACTTCGTTCGCGTAGAATAGTGACTATGGGCAGCGTTTTTTTTTTTAAATATATACTTATTTTTATTTTAGATTTGGATCATAATCACAGTCATTTTGGGTAGCTAAAAAACCTACTTTACTGTAATGCTTCTCTATATACAATATTAGACGTATGGCCATCGGGGGTGAAAGCATACAGGCTGCTGGGATTGCTAACACGGGACAGAGCCACATACAATTGACCGTGCGAAAAACAGCTGATACTTAGATCTATACCCACAACTTTTAGAGTCTGACCTTGAGCTTTATTAATTGTCATGGCGAAACATAGGCTCACTGGAAACTGAATTCGTTTAAAATTAAACGGAAAATTTTTTGGAATGAGAGGAATCTGAGGAATAAAACCACTATCACCTTTTCCGCACCCTGTTAAATATATATATATTTATAAGCCATTTCTGAGATTAGCGTGAACAGACAAACAGACAAAAAAAAAGTTAGTTACATTTTTGGGTTCGACATCGACATAACAATAGCCCCTGCTATTTTTTTTATTTTTATTTTCAATGTACAGACAGCACTTTTCTACAATTTTATTATATATATATATAGATAGATAGATAGTGTTCGACGTGATTCTTTAATTTGACGTAACTTTTTTATTTATGAACCGATTGACATGAAACAAACACTAAAGCATAACTGAAGCATACCACAATATATTCGTGAAAACCGCATCCAACTCGGATAAGCCGTTTCTGAGATTAGCGTGAACAGACAAACAGACAAACAGACAAAAAAAAAGTTAGTTACATTTTTGGGTTCGACATCGACATAACAATAGCCCCTGCTATTTTTTTTATTTTTATTTTCAATGTACAGACAGCACTTTTCTACAATTTTATTATATATATATATAGATAGATAGATAGTGTTCGACGTGATTCTTTAATTTGACGTAACTTTTTTATTTATGAACCGATTGACATGAAACAAACACTAAAGCATAACTGAAGCATACCACAATATATTCGTGAAAACCGCATCCAACTCGGATAAGCCGTTTCTGAGATTAGCGTGAACAGACAAACAGACAAACAGACAAAAAAAAAGTTAGTTACATTTTTGGGTTCGACATCGACATAACAATAGCCCCTGCTATTTTTTTTATTTTTATTTTCAATGTACAGACAGCACTTTTCTACAATTTTATTATATGTATAGATAGATAGATAGTGTTCGACGTGATTCTTTAATTTGACGTAACTTTTTTATTTATGAACCGATTGACATGAAACAAACACTAAAGCATAACTGAAGCATACCACAATATATTCGTGAAAACCGCATCCAACTCGGATAAGCCGTTTCTGAGATTAGCGTGAACAGACAAACAGACAAACAGACAAAAAAAAAGTTAGTTACATTTTTGGGTTCGACATCGACATAACAATAGCCCCTGCTATTTTTTTTATTTTTATTTTCAATGTACAGACAGCACTTTTCTACAATTTTATTATATGTATAGATTAATAAGATATATGTATTTCTTTTTTTAGAAAATAACAAAATTTGTAACTCATCGTATTTTAAAATATATGCACAGTTAGAAGAATGGTTTTTACACAGTCAATATCGATCTAAATTGATCAGTGGCCCTGTCTGGTTTATTATGTACACCATACAGTTTGCCCAATGTTATTCCAAATACACGCTGCTCCTAGAAACAGAACATCGATTTGGCGACAGCACAACCAATTGTTCAATTTGGAAATCAACAGTAGGTACCAGTTGAGATTTATCATCAAAGTATTCATTCCAGAGATAGTGTGAGATCGTCAGTAGATGAAATATCCCGTTGCACTTTATGGCAATGCTTCATATTCATAAAATCACAACAATATAGTAATTTATGTTTGTTATGCTTACAATTTAATATAAGAAATACATATAAAAATAAGCAAGCTTTTACAACGCTTTATATCTTTACACTTCTTGTATTATTTAAACAAATACGCAATAGCATTTTTAAAGTCTATGAAATTGTTATTTTTTGAAATAGGCTGACGTAATTTAGTCAAACGCACAAAACAAAATGTTAGTCAAATCATGAACATGGAGTTCCACTTGTTATTATAAAAACAATATGAAATGATTTCGGCAACGATAATTTCATCGGTTATCACGATACATAGCACGTTCTCCAGTTTCTAAATCGCACGGTCGACTAAAATACGTGTACCGCGTGCATTCCTCAGAAGTGATAAACAGTTAGTATTAACTTAAATAACGCCACTAATGGGGTAGTTATTGTAACGTGATGACGTGAATAGCTTTACGAAGCTGTATTGGTTACAGAACTCGAGTCGGAACAGGCCCGGCAGTCCAACGCTAACACCAGCCGGTATGCACATACATTACTATTTATTTATACAAACTTTTGTAACATAGTTTTATCTCAAAATCTTAAGGTGCGTTCACACCAAACGATCAAAAATTAAGAACATAGTAAAAATGAAATAGAAAGCTAAAATGTGCTGTCTGGTCTGTTCTTTTTAATTTATTGATGTAATCTTGGATTAAATAAAGAAGAAACCTACTGTCCGGCTGTATTTTCGTTTGGTCTGGACACGATGGAACAGAAGGGAACAGTCAATTGAAAACGTGTCTTGAATATAATTACAAGATTAAGACAGTTAAAGACCATTTGTTATCTTCGTATTTAGCGTAACCTGTTGTTATTTTTATTCTATGCAACGCTAGAGCCGTGTAAACCCATTAATTAACCCATGTTAAATCATCTAAAAATGTTCCAAATAACCTTATGTAAATCTAAGAGACTGTTTTAACCTTATCAGATCTCGAAATCATTCCTGCTCCTATCATAATTATAATCATCTCTCCCCTCACCCCTGTCCACCTCTGTCACAGTCACATTCCATAAATGTCACTTTAATACATAGTTTTCGAGGTAATCCAAAACCCGAATTGTTTTCAGAGGAAATAGCAGCAGCTACAACTCGGCAGACGACGAAGAGTACTCCGAATTCGCGGAGAGCGAGGAGGAACCAGAGGAGGAGTAAGTTTGCAATCATACCGCTATTTACAAGATTGTAACAACGTAGCTACGTTGTTACAATCTTGTTATGGACTATAACAGCTGTTGTAGTCCATAGGTTAACAAGTTACAGAACTTATGGAATATAATTACATACTATCGGTACGGTACAGTAAGTACCTTCCAAATATACTACTTATATTTAGCCCAAGCACAAAGCGTCGATATACCAGAACCTTATTTTGTTATTATTTCTAAGCATTACAGTCTTATCCCTAAGGCAAACTAGGAAAGTGCCTAGGGCACCAAGTTACGAAAGGGCGCCACGCATAGAGCGGCGGCGGCGCCGAAAAAATTAGGGATGTCTATGAGGTGCTTGCCTAGAGCACTCTCTAGGTTAATCCACCCATCGGATAGGCAAAGTGTGTATTGGATAATTCCACGTGACAAATGTAGGCGATTTTATATTTTGCTCAATTTGAATTAGGGTCTGACTATACGTATGATAACCAATAAGCCAATTAGCTACACTTGTTAGATACGCGGTATTATTCACTCCAACTATAGGTAGGTCTCCTTTTCTCGTGCTACTAATTAGGTATCGCTTGATAACAAATTGATCATATAAATTGTGGCTAGAATAGATAAATTCGCCAATAATTTCAACTTGAACTTTGATGGCTCAAGAATACAAAGTGTAGCTCAGGTGCTAAGTGGTACCGTAAGAAAAAATGTCTCTGGACGGTCAGTGGTTTTTGTAGGTACCTACCTATTTCTAAAAATATGTCATTAATTATTTGAAATGTGAACTTGTCTTTAAGCGTATATATTTACAGCTACTTCTACGGCGACCGTGATGGCGAATACGGAAATGAATGGAACACCGAGAGTGACGATAGTCGACTTGACAGTGACGACGCCTATGGTGGTCGGGGTACGTAAATATTAAAATAAAATTGCTAGAATAATTTGGACACGAAGTCACATAGCATTTTAAGATATTGTTAGAAATAACTATTCTGATAGATATTTAACTATTAATATAATTTTGCAGTCGGAGGTAATAGTAGTAACAGAAGAATTGCGGAGACAATAGAAGGACTTCCCGATGCTTACTACGGCGGCTACGGGCGATGCTACTCGTGTGGTGCCCGCGGCCACTGGGCGCCCGGCTGTCCCTTTAGGTAACAGCCTAAGTCCGGCCAACGTGTCAACTTGTCGTGTTACATACTCGGCCTACAAAGGCAGCGACTATAATTATATAATGCCATACATTTGTCATCTGGACATGATTGTGTCATCAAGTGCTTCAGTTTTTTCAGTCTCAAGACTCAGTAATTTTCGTTTAGTAGGTATTGCAATAGTGCAATTTTAAAAGCAAATTATACCGCCTGTTATAGTTTATAGCAGTCATCCATTAATTTTAAATTTACTTTTGTATAAATGTGATAGTGTGAAATATTTTAGTGTAAGCGCCGGTTTCACAGCCTCCATATAATGCGACAGATTAATTTATATTTATCTAGTACTTACATACGTTGTAATATCTAATCTATCTAAGCTAATCTAATGGCTATCCAGACATTGTAATACAGCACCTTAATGTTATACATAGAATGGTATTAACTCGTCGAGTACCGGTTTTGTAGACACAATTATAGAACAATAGGTTGCGGTCACCGGTGACCGCTTGGTGTTTGACAGTTTAAAAGGCCAAAATTCGTAATAAAATAATCTCTGGCACAATTTCTACAGAAACGTGGTTAGAATGAGTTAACATGTGCTTTTGAAATCTTTACACCCGAAGTAAACCTCGGCACCTGGTTAAAACCAAGTATTGCTGAACTTTCTATACAAAAGTCAGTTTATTCCAATTCCACTCTTGAGGATCCATATACAATTTTCACTTATTCCTAGTATTGGTAGAAATAAAAATGAACAAAAGCACCATTCCGCGTAACAACTCATTGAAACCAACGATTCTTTTTGTTACTGAGTAACAAAGTGCAATTTATCTCGGTTACACGCTCAATACCACAGTTTTCACTTTTCATGTAGGTACATACCATTATGAATCTTTATTCTTTATTTAAAAAAGTATTTCGTTGCGTTGGTCATTGACCAATGGACCTCATATTATAATAATATGTAGGTATAGTAGGTATCGGAAATCTGTGATGAAATTTTACAATGTCAAATAAAAATATGACACAGATTTTTCGTTACTTGCCTGCTTTTATTATATTAATTACGACCCGCCCCGGCTTCGCACGGGTGCAATATGCATTTATTATACATATAAATTTTGCTTAATCTATTAAAAAAAACGCAAAATCAAACAAAATCCGTTGCGTAGTTTTAAAGATCTAAGCATACATAGGGACAGACAGACGGCGGATAGCGACTTTTGTTTTATACTATGTAGTGATTGCCTATTGCTTACAAAACTAGAACCTGTAGAAACAGTTTAAGATACGACAAATAAAATGTTAACATTATGTAAAAATATGTAGGTACTGCCCATACTTTACTCTGCGATGTATTTTAATAGATTGGTGGAATATCGTTTACTTTTAATTAGTGGCTACCTGCCTATATAAAAATTAATGGATACTATCCATTAATTCTATTAATAATGGATACAAAATTTGTTCATACGTTATAAAAATGAATAATTTAAAAGTGTCTATTAAATCAAATTTGTGATTTTTTATTGTTTTATTTTTATCTGTATTTTACGTAATTAGTGTCTTCCTTTATTGAATGAAGTACCTAATAATAAGGACTTTTTTTTCTTATCAAATGACTTCTCCGAGGAAGGAGTGTCAGACGCTTACTGACTAAAAACCACCCCGTTCCTATTTCTGCACTTCAAGCCGGAGCCCCGGTAACCCGTTAAGTTCTCCGCGGCTCCATATTGGCTTCAGCCCTGTTTGGCCCCGTCTGTGGTGGTCTGATGGCTCTTTGAGGCGCGCGCGGAAGGCGACGCGCCGTACGCTCGGGTCTGTCTCTGGTCGGACGGGGAGCCACGCGACGGCTGTCATTAGCTAGCATGACTGCTTCGCAAAAGGAGACGACATCCCAGTCTCCCTTGCTCCGCATCATGACTAGGGTTGCCACCCGTACTTTATAATAAAGTATTGTACTTTATTTAAGGTAATTGTACTCTATACTTTATAAGAAGAATAAAGTACACGAAAATACTTTATTTTTGCAAACTTCATTTCTATTAAAGTCGTAAGTATTTTTCGGTAAACTTATCGATTCGATATTGATATTTATCGATTTATGTTGAATCGATAATTCGCCAGCGCCACTTAGACAATTTCTAGTAAAGATGCAATTGTTTAGTATTTCAATGCAATTGTTTAGTAAAGGTACTAATTTAATACAAACTGCAAAAAGCAATAAAAAATATATTTTTAAATATAATACTAAATAAGAATAAATTGTACTTTATTTTTGTACTGTGTACTTTTTTTTCTTATCTATAATCGTCAATGTACTTTACATACGAAAGAAAAAGGTGGCAACCCTAATCATGACCCGGACTAGGGCCGGACGCGAGAGGTCGCCGTCGCCAATTACATCCCTGAGGGCACGGCGGCGATGCTCAGCCCACGCAGGGCATTCCCCGCTGCTGTGTATTTCACCGATCCTTTTCAAACTATATTCGGGGTACCTATATAAACTATACCTACTTGGACAGTGGTTTGAATGAAATAACACGATTTTGGCATAAAAAAAATAATTATTCAAAATAGTTTGAAGTTAATTTTGTATGACCAAATTTAGGGGATGGATATCAACGGGTTAAACATTTTGATACTTCGGCCATGAACATGTCATTCCGGAGACAATTGTCCTCAACGGGTTGCCTCTCGAAGTTGTTCAGGAATACATCTACTTGGAGCAAACCCTGCACCTTGGTAGAAATAGCTTCGAGAAAGAGGCCCGTAGAAGGATAGTTTGGCTGGGCAGCGTATAGGAAACTTAATCCAAGTCTTCTCGTCACAGATACCGCAAAGCCTAAGAGTGCATCCTTCCAGTAATGACATATGGAGCCGAGACGTGGACACCGACACTGCGACTGGCCCACCAATTTAAGGTGGCGCAGCGAGCTATGGAGTGGGCTATGGTCCGAGACTCTTTGAAGGATCGAATCTGAAAAAAAAAGTGATCCGAAAGAGAACCAAAGTTATCGACATAGCCCAAAGGATCAGTAAGCTTGTTTCACTTGATACTTCGCCCCGATTACAAATTCACCATGCCACGAAAATTCCCATTTTCTCCCATTTGGGGGAAGATTGGAATGAATCGAAATGCCTCTCTCCCCATTTTAGGAAAATGGACGGTTAGAAGAAACAAACAGCCTATCCCTTTACACCCGGGATGAAACGAGCGTGCGTTTAACTTTTAAAAAATTCTGGCGCCAAACCGTTTGCTTTTTGCGAACGCAACCGGCATCGATCTATCGTGAGGGTATCTCGCTTGCGCTAACTAAATCGCGAGGCCCATGCGGGCGGCCAGTGTCCTGCGAGCCTTGGTGGGAGATGACGACGTGTTTTGACTCTCGCAGCGTCACCGGTAAGTACTAGTTACGCGTATTATTTGTTTAGTAATGTATTAGGTTTTTAAGTAAATTCAAAGTCAAATAAACACTTATTAATTAAGTTCTTTTACTTTAATTAATTTCATTGTAATTTGGATACAATTTCGTCATAAAATTTGACTGCTACGATTGTGTGGCTTCGGTTGTACGTGCAAGAAATAATTTAAAACTTAAAAACCTTTATTTATTAATTGTGCTTGAATTAAATTTGAAAATGTGCATATTTTCTTGTTTTTAGGACAAGAGATGAATGACGGTCAAATTTCACAAATCTTGGGTGACGGAAACCTTTCCAAAATTGAAGATTTTGGTGAAGATGACGATAATTTTCAACGTAATGTCCTGAAAAATCTCAATTTCGAGGAAATATTCTCTGGCATGGAATCCGAAGAAGAACCCGAGTTTGGAGACTCTCCAATCGGGATGAGGCCGTCTGTGGTTCTCCATTTGAGTAAAATTGTCCCACCTGGAAGCTGTATCTGCCATGATAGGTTTTTTACTACTGTCGCATTGATCGAAGAGCACAAGAGGAATCTTCATGGCACTGGAACGATAATGATGATCCGGATCCCTGATCGTGTTGCAATTAAATTCAACACTGATGCTAGGATGGCTAAGCAGGAAAAACATTTTGCCCTTATTGGATTTTCGTTTAATATAGCCGACGGATTTTCAAGTAATCCATCCAAAGAACGCCGAATGTCCAGTGATATTGAGAATGATCCGCCAGTGGAAAATGATTTTTCAGTTCGAAGATACTACAGGTCAGCAAATAAACCTTCTGAAGCAAAAAGATATGACGGTTATGAGCATTTCCCGGTATTTGGTGAAATAAAAGCTCCAAGAATGAGTCGACATGAAACTTGTGGCAGCCGCACGAAGATACGATGCGAAAAATGTGATACATACTTGTGCATTTCCCGTGGGAAAGACTGTTTTAAGTCATATCATCAAGAACCATAATTTTGATAGTTCCTTTTTGTGATTAAATAATATTAATTAGTTTCAGCTGTAGAAGTCCTTTGGTTTTTATGACTTTTGTTACCAAAGCTGTTTTTTTAAGAATTAAGGATTCCATAGTAAGTTTAATAATGTGGACTGATTCTAGAATGGGTGATTAAAGTAATAAGCTCCCAAACATTTATATATCAGTTTAATTTTCCATCCAACTATCAAGATAAACATTCTATTTAAATTACCCTCACGATCGTGAGTAGTCAAGTTGTACCTGAAACTCACGATCGTGAGGGTTAACTCCTGGGTTAACTATAAACCTGAGATTTTTTTCAGTATTTTTTCGAAGCCCCTACGGCTCTACAGAATGGTATAAAAACCATTACATAGACGATTTCAAAATAAAAATCTATCGGGTGTAAAGGGCTATGTCATACCTTCCTTCAGCTATCTCCGTCACGATTGCTCAATGCGAGTTGGTGATTTTAACTTTTAATTATAAATTATAAATGCAGGTTTCCTCGCAATGTTTTCCTTCAGCGATTGTCAGTGGTTTCTAAATAATGTTATACTCTATACAGTATAGCCTTTCTGTCACCAATAATGAATAGCCCGTTGTAACAAACAAACATATTAAAAAGCTTAAACATAGAATTTAGATTTGTGTCTACTAGGCTTTGAGCATGTTTGGGAATAAAAATTCAGGATTTATGAATTGTTTTATTTAATAAATAAATTACGGAAATTAGCATAGTACAACAAAGACAAAATCTTGAAACAACGAATTTATTCGAAAACTATGTTACAGTGTGTAATAGTTATGCAATAAAATAATATATTGTGCTCCAAATAATGTATTTAATTTATAAGAAAAATCATTGTGTCATCAAAACACAAACATGCATAGTACATTAATAATAATAATAATCAAAATTGATTAAGTAAACATTATATTATGAATTCAAATGTTTTTTGATTGACACTTGTAAGCATAAACGTAAATCACTACTATTTCTAATAAAAATTATTAGATAGGTATTATTGGTAAGGATGGTATAAGAAATACAAAGCACCAACTAACCGGTATCCTTGTGGTGTTTGACAGTTTAATAATAGGTACTCTGTCAACATTTTATCTACTTTAAACAAAGCAATCATTTTCTTTTGTTTGCTTTTCTTAATCTAGTTTATCAAATTCAAATTTGTGACGTCGGAGGGTGAATCAGTAGTATACTTGCAAGTGTCAATATTTTATTACAACTATTCTTATTATATTACTTAATAGAACTGTACTAGGTACCTGAAAAATAATGCACATACACAACATTAACAATAAAATAAAGAAGAAACGAAGATCAAGAACAAACTGTTATCACACAACCTTAACTTCTTACTTAATAATTTAAATAAATACTTAAGTGTCTGCTAGTTTTAAGAAAATATGTCTTTTATCTTGCAGTAGTTGTCCCAGTTTGTTTACATGACATTGTTAACAAGATCTAGGTTGATATCATAATATTCTGAAAATAATACTTGAAAAAAATAATAATTTAATTGATATAAACTAAACACTTTACAAAATTTAGTAAAAAGTAGTGACTTGTACAAAATTTAAGAAATTATATTTATAACGCAAAATTAAAAGGAGCCCAATATCAATAAAAAAGACATCCAAAAACTGAATAATAATAAATACTATACATCAATAGCACAAATACTATATCAAAAGCTTCTGGCTTATGCACACAAATTTAGTTTTCTAATACATAGTCAAGGACAAACCTAAATTTATTCATACTATTTGCAAAATAAAGTATTACCTAGTGACATGTCATCAAAACTGATGTGAAAGAACACTAAGCTATCTTAAGATAAATTTTATTACTCAAGAGAACGTTTAATATTATCCATTTATATGTGGTTAAGTAATATTCAGTTATCAGGATATCTTTATATTAGAATCTATATAGATTTATCTCATAATCTACCACAGGCTTTCTCACATTCAGAACTATGATTTGGCTATGGGTACACCACCATTAAATACTCAAAATAAGTGAGAGGTTGTCTTGTGACTTTACCTAATATACAATAAAATTTAATTAATCATTTTTCTTGTCAGCTGGTTGTTGTTCTGCTTCTAAAATAGCTGGAGTGCCATTCTTTACTTGTTTCTGTTGTTGTTCCATCTCACCAGAGAAACCAAATTCATTGACCCGCTTATGGTCAACCTTGTAGATCCAACGTTGGTATAAAAAGATGAAAAATACAATATCTGTAAATAATTTAAATAAATAAATTTTTTAACATAATTACACATTTTACAATTTTCAGAGAGATTAGCAAAGGCAAACTCACATTGTGCAAATAATGAATGGGAGAACCAAACACACAAGTTAATACTGATAACATAATACACATAGCCTTCCCGCCTGGGTGAGGCGGGAGGGAGTGTCAGACTATTACTGACTAAAAACCACCCCGTTCCTAATCCTACCCTTCGAACCGGAGCCCCGGCAACCCGACGTACTCTGCAGCTCCGTATTGGCATCAGCCCTATTGGGCCCTATCCGTGGTCCTCTGATGGCTCTTTGAAGCGCGCGCGGTACGTAACGCGCCGTACGCTCGGGTCTGGTTTTGGTCGGGCGGCGAGCGAGACGGCATCCCAGTCCACCTCACTCCGCATCATGGCCAGGACGGACGCGAAAGGTCGCCGTCGCCGACCACATCCCTGAGGGCACGACGGTGCTCTGCCCACGCAGGGCATGCCCCCACCGTCTACTTAGGGCGTGTCTTGCAATGATGACAACCGGGCATATCCTCCCGCCCTATCAGACACAGGTACCTCCCGAAGCTCCCATGTCCGGTAAGCACCTGCGTTAGGCGGTGCGTGAGGACGCCATAGCGTCTATCAAGCCACTTCTTCAAAGAGGGGACTTACCGCTGCAAAGGCAGCGAGCCCAAACATAGTATAATAGATATAAAAAATGATAAGATTTAAAAATACATTTAAAAACGATTAGTAGAATTTATATAATGAAGATGTTTCATAAAATTAACACTTACCATCTCTGAAGCAACCCAAACGGTACATTGTTGGCATTTTTATCACAAAGGCGAAGATATCATCTATAAATGTATTAAGGAACTTGTATGTCATCATACGCCAAGGCAAATGTGCTACTGACTTCAACTTGTAGTTAATAAACAGTTGTGGTGTCATCATGATGAATCCAAAAGTCAATAAATATCCATACATCATGTTTAATATGAAAGAATACCATCCTTTATGTTCCTGGTATAACAATGAGTATACACCATATCCAATTAAAAGAGGGAAGCAAGCCCAGCTCAGGTAACGGAAAGCCAACATATCATACTGCTTTGTACTAGATTCAACATAAGATCCTTTATCAGTAAAACTTAGTTTCGGTATACCAAAGATACGCTCCTCTCTATTTATCTTCACATCCATAACTTTGTTAATTTTCCAGACCTCTATAAGCAAACCTATGAAACATGAAATTCTGACCATGACATTTGTTTCATTATCAAGGACATAAAGCAACACCACCGTGGATTGGAAAACATTAAAAAATACTGATCTCACAGAAAGACCCTCAAGTGACTGCCTATTGTTCCAGAATTGTATATCATTTTTGAAAGCAAGTAATTCAAATATGGAATGTAGAACTGAAACACTGATAGTAAGTGCAAGCAGGTATGGTGAAGTGTCAAGTAGCAATTCCTTGACAGTGTCTTGCTCTTCATCTTGCTCTTCAGCCCCGAGTGCTGAAAACATACTCAATTTGTCTCTCATTGCTTGGGCAGTATACAACTGCCATTTAAACAAACTTAAAGGTTGAAATGTTAGCTCAAGATTCAATAATTCTGAAGTTTTGTTAATTGGTACATAATCTCGCATCATATTCCAGTAGTCATTCAAGAAAACTGCAGGCTTATACTGTTTCCCATCTGGCAAAAAGAAGATAAACTCATCTAATGGGGGTGGAACGCTGCCTTGCATCCAATTAGTTTGGTCTGTTACCAAATTGACAGTTAAATTTGGATGCCAATGTGATACAATTTCCTCTTTAAGGGTTTCAGCCTTAATTATTTCTTCAGCAGATTTTTCTGTTTGCCCTGTTAATAAGTTGTGTGTCTTCATATAACGCAACTTTTTATATTTATTAAGCATTTTTTTGCCATAGGTGATGTATGGTCCACCATAATCGTTTTTATTTTTAGGGTCAGGTGATTTTCCAGATTGTACCACAAATACGTGAAGATAGATTGATCCATTGTTCTTTAATGAATCTGAAGGCTTAATGGTGGTGGAGTGAGTGAAGGTACCATCATTATTAGGACCTCCCAGCCAATCACCATAAATAATTCCAGTTTGTTTCCAAATTAAATCAGAATCATCTAAATTGGAATAAAATTCTCTCTCTGATACATAGCAGTACATATCTAAAACAGTGCCATTAGCAAACATGTTAATAGCAGGAACACGAGGGGCTGCTGTAGGGTTGCTTAAATCAGTCTTGGGCGCTGATGGTTGCCGAAACATGGAAGTGATGAAATAAACTACAAGTGCCCTTATAATCAAGGACTTTGTAATGGCAAAGAATGATTCCATCTTAGTTGGCTGCATTCTGCGTCTTTGTTCATCGATTTGAGCATTGACCTAAAACAATAATGATAAGATTACTATGTTTTTTTAGATTTTGGTTGTCATATACTTTGGCCTCCATGGCAATAATTTTTTTCAGGTTAAAATTGTTATTGACTCTAACCAACATTTATGAAACTTGTTAAATTGGGTTGGAAAGCGTTTTGTAATATTTTATTTGAAAATAAATTGTATACTTACATCAACAGTATCTTCAGAAGATCTATTCGCTTCCACCACACTGTTTTCATTGCTGACTTCGCCTGGAGGATTGTTGGAGGAGTTAAGATTATCAGATTCCGCCATACTGATTATTTAGGTATTGCTGGATTACTTATTGCTTGTATTTTAAATAGCACTCAACATTTGCTTTCAGTACAAGAAAATCTCATCGTTCTCTCTCTACGTTTCTTCTAACATGAAAATGAAATTGGATTTTTATCAATCCACTTGTCATTGACAATTTTTTTTATCTATCGTTTAGTGGCATTTAGTTTTAGGCTTTTCAGACTTCGTTACAATTGCCAAAATCTTACCACCTACATATGAGCGATTTTTAAAATAAATACCCAAAATAGATATTTAGTCACGTTGTAATATAAATACTCAAATATATATAAATATAATAAAAATGCACAGTATCCTTTTTGAATATTTATCCGAAAAATCGCCTACTTAAATTACCACGATATCACTATTTATACCTCTTATCTTGTCCTTGTTGAACACTTGAAATGCATAATATTTATATTTGATATGCCGTTGAAGTAAAGCAGAGGCAGATTAAACCTCGCTAAAGGGCGCTCTCTTGCCCTGGCAAGCACCTTATAGCCCCTAATTTCTTTTGGCTCCGCCACCGCTCAGCTCGTGTCGTGGCGTATTATCTAGAACAATTTAATTTTCTTTCTTCTTTATCCGAAGGCCAGTAGCGTGCAGACATTGACGTCTTATGCTATTAAAGTTAGACAGGGAAACCACGGCAGGGAGTTCATTCCACAATCGGAGGGTCCGTGAGAGAAAATTCCTCTGAAACCGAACTGTACGGGACCATTTTGGTTCCAATGAGTGAGCGTGAACACCCTGTCGCTGGCGAGCGGTGCGATAATAAAAAGTGGCCGTGTGCATCATATCAAATAATTCCGCAGAACATAACGAAAGTATAGGATCGTCAACAAGTCTTACAGCTCTCCTTTGAACCGCGTCAAAATGTCCAAGCTGGTATGCTCACGCTCCTGCCCAGAGATGAGAGCAGTACTTAAGACGGCCGTCCCGTCTTTTGCGGGACCGTCCCGTATTCTGCGGGACCGTCCCGTAATGCTAGATGTAATCTCGTAATGCTAGATGTAATCCCGTAATGCTAGATGTAATCCCGTAATGCTAGATGTAATCCCGTTTTGAAATAATTTATAACTATATTAAAACACAACGTGCTCTGCTTGTACTTAAATTTAATATGAAGGGAAGAATAATGAGGGAAGTTGCGAAGATTTTCATGACATACCTAACTTACCTAAGTACTCAATAAGAATCCTGAATTTGTAAAAAGTGTCACTCTAGAGATGAATACGATTTTATTAATAGTTAAATAACTTTTGTACCTAAGTTTTATGTTTTTATGTATATACCTATGTGTTTTTTTAAGGGGGGAAATCATCGAATGAATTCTCCCGCCTGGGTGAGGCGGAAGGGAGTGTCAGACTCTTACTGACTAAAAACGACCCCGTTCCTACTCCTGCTCTTCGATCCGATGTAATTGTACGTGTACCGACTAAACTTTCTCTACAAAAAGTCCCGCATTGGACTTCCAAAATGTTGGTCGCCTTAACTGCAGTACTCCAATGGGGGCGAACTTGCGATTTATATAAAAGCAGTCTTTGTCACGGCGTGAAGTACCGTTTCGCTCTGTTTAGCACGCCGAGTTTTAGATGCAAGGTTGGCCTTGTCTTCTAAGTGACTACGGAACTGGTCGACACCAAGGATACCTATACTTTTGGAGATGTTAAGGGAATGTCTTGGAATTTAGGGGCCACAACGAATGGGGTTTTTTTAGCGGTACCTAAACGCACAAACTTGTGTCTTGGAGGGGTTGAACCAGAACATATGGTCCCGACCCCAATCGGAGACTCGGCATAAGGTACCTACTCTCGATTTGAGACACAAGTTTTACGCGGCTTTCTTCCACAACGGAACGAGGGATGTTTGCACGGCCCGTGTAAGATGCGTCCCCGGTGCTATCATCAGCATAGCAATGAATACCCTCAACAGACAGTAAATCATTGATATGCAGAAGAAATAGCGTCGGAAAAAGTACGGAGCCTTGCGGCCTGCTTGTTTGCTCCATTTTTGGGCATTCTCCAATCAATCAATTTTTATGAATACCGCCTTTTAGAAATATTATTTTCGGGGATTTTTTTTTTTTTTTTAAGGGGGGAAAATCATCGAATGACTGCTCCCGCCTGGGTGAGGCGGGAGGGAGTGTCAGACTCTTACTGACTAAAAACCACCCCGTTCCTTCTCCTGCACGTCGAGCCGGAGCCCCGGTTACCCGTTAGGTTCTCCGCGACTCCGAATCGGCATCGGCCCTATTGGGCCCCATCTGTGGTGGTCTGATGGCTCTTTGAGGCGCGCGCGGAACGCGACGCGCCGTACGCTCGGGTCTGTTTCTGGTCGGACGGGGAGCCACCCATGCTCGCCGTCCGCAGGGCCGCGCTATTTTCGGGGATAGGATAACTTTAATCTTGTCGATTTTTTATAGACAAGGTAATCTTGTCTATATAATAAAATACTAGTTCACTTCAAAACCTCAAAAAGGTTTCATAGGAAAAAAATGCGTACCTACGCTACTCGTCATAACTTTGCTGGAAGGATTTTTTTTAAGGGGGAAAAATTATCTAATTACTCCTCCCGCCTGGGTGAAGCGCAAGGGAGTGTCAGACTCTTACTGACTAAAACAACCTCGTTCCTACTCCTGCATTTCGAGCCGGAGCCCCGGTAACCCGTTAGGTTCTCCGCGGTTGCTGGTAGGATAGAGTGGACACCTTAATAACAAGGACCTAGTTAGAAAATATTATGTAGGTAACCAGAAACTTATACCATTCGATGAGATAAATAAAACAATATTATCATATTTAATGGTTTATTTGAAACACAAAATTGAAAGACTGACAGTTAATCGGACCCAAAATGCATTTGGAAACCTTACCAAATGTTCGGATTCCCAAACCATTACCAAATTAGTTTCGACAACATTAAACAAAACATAAAAATATTACTAACAGCAAGTCACTTCAAGTTCGCCTAGAATCTACTCAGTAATACTCAGATTCTGCAGTGCATTATGTTGAATTTCCGTCACTGGTTTCCATCACAGAGATTTCATTACCTACATTTTGAAGATTACTTAAAAACATAGAAATATCCTACTTCCTCACTAGCAATGTAAATGGATGCATGATTTCCTGCCTATAATTAAAGGCCCAAACAGCCTTGTGCTTGCAAAAGATACCTATAAAGAAAAGGTTTCTTTCCTTACATTCATCACCTCGCATTGTTCCAAGCGGTCCTTTGTACAATCTGTCACAATAAGGTATCATTTTATAGGCACAAGATATAGACCAGTGTAAATGGCAACAGTTCACAAAATATGCCCAGTTTAGCCATACACGGGTTAAGTCAGTCATTAAGTATTATGAAATCTAGCAAAAAGAAACTATTAGAATAAAATAATAATTATACATTGTATGTCATAAATAAAATGGTATGCCTTACAAGTTTAGCCAGTGCAGTAGTGCAAGTCGTTAGTTATTGATAGTAAAATACCAATATTATGGTCATGCTTATTGACCTAAAAGGTAGTAGGCAATATTGATAATGCATCACAGACATTTAGACATAACGGTAAAACTTAAAAATTAAGTACCTAATAAACCTATAAATGTGAGAAATGACACATTATGCTTGCTATCTTAAGAGCTGAACATTTTCTGTATAACATCCACTAAATTAATTATGCTTACTAAAAACCTCTTAAGAAATTTATACGAGTGTTTAGAAGAAGATATGTCAATAAATACAATTTATGATTGCATTGTTTCAACTTCTAGAATTGATTAAAATGATTAATAACGCTATTATAAGAATATTTGAATTCCTTAAATATTTGGATACAAACAAAAACAGACTTAAATCCATGCAATATTGTGAACTGTCACCATTTCTGAGGTTTAACTAGAGTTAATCTTGCATTTCTTCAGGCAATTCGTGAGGATTGAGAATGCCTGGCACTGATAACTGAACTCTTCGCTTCTCTTCTTGTGCTTGACGAAGATTGAACAGACGCTCTTCCAAAAACAAATCACTGTCATCTTCACCAGTATACTCCTGTAATATAAAACATCATTAAATATAACAAATACTCAATGTCTTTTAAAATTACATGAAATTGAGAAATACATACAAATCTTTAAAATGAGAATAAATTAAGCGCATCAGAGGACTTAGTACGAGTTCTTTCTTTACGTTTAACGCAATCAAAACGTTACCGCACTCAGTCCTCTGATTGGTTGGTTAATTGGAGAAAGCCAATCAGAGCGCCGAACGTCATAAACGTGTCGATTGCGTTAAACGTAAAACAAACTCGTACTAGGCCATTTGCAATAAAAACAATTTTGGGAAAGGACCTAAGAATCATATAAGCCACAGTTGGTTGAAAAGTTGACAATATATTTTGAGTCACTGAGTCACTGAATGAGAGTATATAATTATGTATCATATAGGGATAAGGAGCTTTAATAATAATATTTATATAATAATTGAACTTTTCAATATGTACATAAAAATAATAATATCATTGTAAATATGTGATATGTATGTATCATGGTATATTCCAATGATATCACAAATATGTAAAACTAGCTACTCCCGCGCGGCTCCACCCGCTGCTCTGCTCTTATTCATCGTAGTGTAATGTTTTATAGCCCTCCATGGTAAGTATACTATCCATTTATCCAATACAAGAATGTTTTTTTAAATCATAGCAGTAATTCATTAAGCATGTTCAAACAAACAAACTCTTCAGCCTTATATATTAGTATGTATAGATACGTAGTAAGTATAGATAATTGTAATTCTCAGATAAATATCAGATATTATAATAAAATTAAACTTTTCTAGTTTTATCTTCACTCTTTGTTTTCATTTCATTAAATTTTTTTTTATTTATTTCATGTATATGTCGCCTCTACTCTCTAGTATATAATTATGTGAACTACTACTAGTACTAATAGTACTTTCTACAATTACTACAACTACTTACTCTTATTTGAACTAAAAAGTCTCTTAAGTGATCTTTGAATCCGGGAATATCTTGATCCAGGTTGAAAAGCCCTTGAACCGTGATTTTAATTTGATTGTCTGTTAAATGCGGAAACGCTCTTTTCAGCAAGTTGGCCACATATTCCTGAAAATATA